TTCAATATTTTTAAAATCTTTAATATTTTTAAGATTTTTACTATTGTTACCATTTTCAATATTTTTAATATTTTCACTATTTTTAATATTTTTACTATTTTCAATATTTTAAATATTTTTCGATACTATTTTCAATATTTTTAAGATTTTCACTATTTTTTACCATTTTTAGGTACTATTTTCAATATTTCTAATATTTTTACTATTTTCAATATTTTTAAAATCATTAATATTTTTAAAATTTTTACCATTTTCAATATTTTTACTATTTTTAATATTTTTAAGGACATTTGAAACATTATGACCTCATAGTTTGTGCAAAGCATGTGTTTCAAAACTATGACATAATAACGGTTCAAATACCCTTAAAAATAGAAATATTTTTTTCAATTTGTTTTTTACATATTATTTATTACTAAAATTTTGAAAAAATATTTATTTACGTATTTATTTTTTAACTCGCAGTGGAAAATTTTATAGAAACTCTCAAAATTCTAAAAAAAAAAACTATATAAATGAAAAATATAAATTTACTTTTCAATGCAATTGTATTTTGAGATTTTAATTATCTCGTGGCTACAGATTTTTGATTATTTATTTACTTTCTATTTTTTCTCCATTATATATTTTTTTGTTTAAAACTTTGAATATAATATTCGATATTTTGAGTAACTGGTGGAAAAATTTTAGAAACCCCCAAAAATTCTAGCAACGAAATATTTGTCCGAAATTTTAAAATGAAATATTTTTAACAAATTTTTTTTAACAATAAATATCAACGACTTTTGTTTGTTAATTCAAAATTTTTATACCAAATTCAAAGAATACTTTCAAAGAAGGAAATAAAAATTCTCACTCATGAAAATAAAAAAAGAAGGAAAAAATTATTTTCAAAATATTTCATATATTTAATATCATTTTTTTCCTTCTTTTTTTATTTTCATAAGTGAGAATTTTTCTTTCTTTCTTTCTTCCGATAATTTTTTTATTCTTCTTTCATCAAATATTTTTTTCTCAAATGGAAAAATTCATACTTAAAAAATAAAAAGAAGTCAAGAAACTTTTTTTTCAAATGAAAAAAATGAAAAAAAGCGCGGGAAGAAATGAATAAATTAATGTTTGATATTTATATTATATTTTCCAATGCGTCGCTTTCATTGAATGTCATTTATTTGAATAAGCGGAAATTATGTTTTATATATTATATATATATTTAAAATAAAACGACCTGTATTTTATTCAGTCATTAATTCGAGAGTTTTGTATTAAGTGTATAATATAAATAAATATAGAGAAATTAATTCATCACACACGCAGTCAATTTGAATTTCCAATATTGTGAAATGAAAATTAATTAAGAAATTAAGGTTATTTTATATATATTCATTTACATTTTCTGTGTGGGTTTTCAACGTCTTATAAATTATGTGCAAGGTAAATAATGTTTAAAAAAAAAGAAAATTAAAAAACTGATAACTAAATTATATACAATTTCTTTCCTTCGATGAGTTTTAAATTTATGTCTCTTGATAAAAAAGAAAATCATTTTTCTCCATAGGGTCAAATTTGTAAAAAAAAAAACCAAAACTCACCGTTTTCTGTCATCTTTCATGGAAATTTTGTTCGTGAATGCAAATAATTCTTACCTGAAACATGAAAAAAAAATTTTTGTAAGTACATTAATCATTTTTTATCCATTTTTTCATATTTATTTTGAAAATTTATTTATAATTTAAGTATCAAAATTTTTAATTGTTTAATATCTTTTTTAAATTTTTTAACTCTGAGAAAAACTTTTTTTTAATCCAAAAATAATTACTTGTAAGTTATTCGTTAATAATTAATAATTTCTTTATTAATTGTTAATATTTTATTTTATAATTAATTTTATATAGTTAATTTTTATTTATTTTGTAATTCAGTTTGTTTTAAGAAAATTTTTAAAAGAATTCATTTTTTTAATTTCGTTATATAAAAAAAATTCAATTACATTAAAAATAATAAATAAATATATTACTTATTATTATTGAAATTACATTTATTTTTAAACGGATTTATTTAAAAATAGAAAAGGTCAGTTTTACAACTAATAATTTTGTAAAATATATAGGTTAACATTTAATTTCAAAGATTAGATATCACTTTGAATGATACAAAGAAAGTAATAAATTTCTTTATCAAAATTTTTTAAAAGTTTTTGTCAATAAAGCAACTAGTGTTACAAGTTTTAGCCATGAATTTTATATTTTTATTATTTCATGTTTTTCTTATTGTTATTATTAATAAATTATTATTAATTGTTAAAATTATTAATAAATATTATTAATATTTCATTTTTCATTACTATTTCTTTTTTTTTTTTTTTTTTTTTTTGGGTTTTTTATTGAACATTATTATTTTGACTTTATTTTATTATTCTCTGATTTATGATTAAATAACAAAATGAAACTAATTTCATTTTGTTATTAAATCATAAATCAGAGAATAATAAAATTTATAAAAAAAAACGAATTTAGAAAAATTTTATACCTATATAATGAAAATTGCGAAAAAGAATAAATTTAAAGCAAAAATACAAATACATAGCAGAGATTTTAGGTGAAAATTTAGAATTATTTTTTTTGAGTCAAGAAAAAATTATGAAAAACTTGAGGCGTCATAATGTAAATTTGGATTACGACGTCTGCTGTTTTCCCCCTTATGAAAAGTGGGTCGCAATATATATTTATAGAAACTTGGAAAAAGGGGTTGACCAAGGTGGGGATTACTAACCAACTCAAGAGAATATTATTGGACCATCTTATGTCGGTTATTATAGAAAAAAACCTTTATTGTTCCACGCACACCATCTCAATTTCACGTTCAAAAAAAAGAAAAATAAACAAAAAATGAAAAATTTTCTCTTTTTAAATAGAAAAAATTCTCCCTCACGCATTTACATTAGGAAAGAGAAACGAGATTATAAATTTATAAATAAAAAGCAAAGCACTGTGGAAAATAAACTATGAAAAAAATAAGTAAAATTAAAAAACAAATTGTTAAATAATAAAAATCGAGATAAAAGTGAAAAAAATTTTTTTAAAAAATATATAAAAATTTGTCGTATTTTCAGAAGACGAAACAGAAAAATATTATTTTTGTCGTTAATATTTATTTTATTTATTAATAAAATAAAATATTTTCATATTTTTATTTTCAGAAGACAAAATTACAGTGAAACGGAAAATTTTTTTTTTTGTTAATTTTAATTTAATTTTTTTTTAAATAAAATATTTATATATTATTTTTATTTTATTAATAAAATGGAAATAATATATATATTATTCTTTTTTATTAATAAAATGAAAATAATATAAAAATATTTAAAAAATAAAATTTTTAAAAAATTCGCAGAATCAACGTGTGAAATGTGTGCGAAGGCGGATAATAATTTTTTTTTTCACGTATAGTAATTTTACATATCCGCTTGGTTGATTATTACGACAAACGAGATGGTGAAGTGACGTTTATATAGAACATTTCACCCGCGTTGAGTTTACATTCAATTTGTACCCTCGTTTTCAAGTTGAGGCTATCCACTTAATTTCCGTAAAGCGACACCGAATCAAGTCACCAAACCGAAACTGGGTTCAAACAATTTATATAATAATATTAAGAAAAAAGGGTGCAAAGAAAGAGAATTTTTTTTTTTTAATAAAATTAAAAATTGGAAATTTTCTCTGTTTAATTACTTTTATTGTTAAATAAAATATAACAATAAGAATAATTTACAATAATTGATATTTAAAGAAAATAATAAGTTTATTTAATGTAAATTTCACTTCTGAACAAAGAAAATGGGATTTGTCTCAAATTGTGTGTGCGATAGCCGAGTGACTTGCCTACAGGATTTCTAGACTTGAGGACTAGAGTTCGATTCTTCATAGTTGCGAATATTTTTTTTTTACTTCAAAATTATTATTTTACTCACAAAATTGACTTTTATTTACTGAATAAATAAAAAAACAAATAAATAATCAAATAAAATACAAAATGAATAAGTAATTAAAGAATCAAATAAATTAATTAAAAAACAAAGTAACTATTTTGTTAAATAAACAAAATACTAAATAAATAAACAAAAGAACGTTATTGGAACTGTGACTATTTTTAAACAAAACAGCTAAATTTTCATTAAACATTGACTGAAAATAAAAAAGAAAAAGAAATGTAAAAAATTGTTAAATGTTAGACGAAGCATAAATGACGATAAATGCTTGAGAAAGGCTCGACATTTTTAGAAAATCGGGGGAGTAACGAAGTAGGGGAAAAAAATAGAGGCGAAAAAAAGGAGAGAAATAGAGAGTGTGTGTGTGTGAGTGAGAAATATTGAGACGGAAAGGATTGAGAGTAATTAGTCGCTCAACGGGAAATAAAGTCAGTAATGAGGAGGCACAACCGGATCGCATTTCCGGAACATTTTGCACTGCACCAATCAACGAAATAACACTTTTTTTTTATTGTTCCATTGTGCGACTTCCTAGAGATAAAAAAAAGGCGATTTTCGTTGGAAAAAAATTCAATTATCATACGGAAGTGTTACTCTCAATTATTCTTTTTCTTTTTTTCTTTTTCAAAAATAAGTTTTCTGTAGTTCGTTGCAAAAAAGCAATAATTGCAATCAAAAAATTTTAATTACAATTTTTTTTCTGTTTGTACACCTTTTGAGTTTAATTTTCTTTCTCGAAATTTTTGTTTATTTAGCATTAAAAAACTTTCCACTTAATATTCGATTCAATTCAATTATAAATTTGTGACCAACTCCCAAAACGAGGAATTTTTTATAAAGAGAAAATAATTTACTATATATTTGTACATAAATATATATTTTTTTATTCTATATTTTTTTGATTGCATACAATTCTTTCAACGTAAATATAAATATATTGATATTTTGTTTTATAACAAATTTGTCTAAAGAATTTTCTAAATTTATAAACAAAATTACTTTTTTTATAATCGTACGATGTCAATTTTATTTTTCATTATTGTTATAAGTATTTACTTCATGGAATTTAAGACACTTAAGTAGGAAAAAGTCATTTTCATAAGCTGTAAGAATATTAAAAATTAATTTTTAAAAATAAAAACAAACATTTTTATTAATTTAAAATGTATTTTTAATAAAAAATTTTGTTTATTTTTTAATGTATCAAATTAGACAGAATTATTTTCTATTTATTTAAATTATTATTTATTTTTTTTAAATATAAATTTTTTATTAATTTTAAATTTTTACCGAACTATATGTTTCGATAGAAAAAACAACAAGTGTTCCAACCGTTATTTTCGTTTCTTTTAAACTTCTCCTCATCATTAGTAATAACATTTTCTGTACAGTAATTGGCATTTCGTACCAATTAATTTCATATCTAAAAATTAAAAGTGTATTTTAATATTTTTACTGACCAAATTATTATTATTATTAATAATATTATATATATAATTATTACTAATTATTGATAGTAATAATAAATATTTTTATTATATAATAATAATAGTAATTAATTAATTATAATAACTATTATTATTACGTTGAAAATAATTACATGGAATAAAAAACATTTGCACTATGATCCATCAACTTCTGTCCTGGAATACAATTTAGCAGAAGATGAGTTGCTTGACCTAAAGCGATGGAAGAGAATTTCATAACAAACTCAATGTTATCGATGTTTTTTATCAACTGAAATTATTAAAAAAAAGAAATTTTCCTTTATTATACGAATGAGATTGTAAAAAAAATTGTTTAATATTTTTAATATCATAAGATAATATTGTTTTTCTTTGTATTAAATTTTTAAATTGTTAAATTATAAATTAACGGTAAAGCAATTGTCATAAATGTCGAGGTATCAACGTGAAGAGAACTTCTAATAGCGTATGCCATAGAAGTGAGAAAGAAAAGGAAAGGAGTAGAGCAGAGAGAAGGAGAGCGTCGCGCAAACGCAAGGAGCCAATCGTTTACGTTCCCCCTCTCCTACTACTCCTCGTCCAGTATAAAAGAGAACGGACCAAGCTGGAGAGCGCACTAATGCCGCAGCACTGTATCCGTAAGGTTTTTGTCAATCTTTATTATTTTTCATTTATTTATTATTTATTATAGGACAGCTAATAATTATTGAATACCAGTGGAATTCAAATAATAATAATAATAAAAAATAATAATTTCAAATAAAGAAACTGTAAATCAGTGAAAAATTACTTTTAGTTATTTCTTTCCAGTTTAATTTTTTTGGTAAAGCCATAATAAAATAAAATAATTTTTCAAATTATAGAAAATCTTACCATTAAACCTTGAAAGCTCATCAATGCCACTATTATTCCAGTAGAAAAAAACAGAAAAGTTGAAAAGCAGTCATTGATTTTTTGTGAATAACTTTTCAAAACATTATTATTAAAATTTTAGTTCCATTTAAACTTTCAAAAATTATATTTAAAAAATCCACTGCCAACATTTACGTAAATAATTAAAAAAAAATAGTTATACTAACTCAAGTACATGTCCATACAAATTAAGACAGTCCACAACTTTTCCAATCATCTTATCTTTTCTCTTCAAATCCAAATTTTTTTCATTTCCATTATTCAAGAGACTTGAAATATTATGCAATCGATACCTGGAAAAAACAGTTCAACAACAATATCGACGAAAAAAATTTTCTAAAACAAAAAAAAATATATGAATCTATAGTATGGAAATATTATTCCCCTTTTTAGGAATATCATTTTCCCTGTTAGAAATATTATTTCCATATCTATTTAAAAATAGAGAAAAAAGAAACTAAATTGTAAATAAAAATTACGTTAAAACTTGGAATAATCCACAACTGTGTTGTATTAATGTGTATAATATAATATCACCAGTAATAACACCAACGACAGAATAACTCCCACCAATAAATCCATGAATATTAGTAAGAAAATAATAATTTTCATGATTAATTATTACATAATTAACATCATAAAGATAATACGTTTCCATTGTTTTATTTTCGGATAGAAATAAATTACAAATTGCTGGAGTAACTACTGCTATACTGTATGCGGTTGCAGTGAACATAATATAAACTGAATAAAAAAAAATAATCAAAATTTAAATGCTTTTATTTTTTTTCTCCGTGAATTTCTAAAAATCTCAAGTAACTTTTATCTTTTGGAAAAAGTTAAGTAATCAAATTTCGATGAATTAAAAAATAATGTCAAAAAATAAAAGAAAATGATGAATAAGTTAAATGAAAGAGGACTGGAAGTTAGAGAAGCAGATGAGCGCAAGCGCGGACGGAGTGGGGGCAGTGAGTGCGAGAGAGAGGTTTCGGTTTCTCTCTCTTAGACTCATTGCCCCCACTCCGCAACTCCGCTGCGCATCTTCTTGATTAACTATACCAGAAAAATTTTTGTCGATGGAACTGGAAAGTAAAAAGAAAAATTGTTAACATTATGCAGGATTATTTAGGTATACAAAGAATTATTATTATTATTATCGAAAGAAGGAAACAAATTTTTGAATCTTCAAACAAATTTCATCTTTAAATACAAATATGTACGTGCATATGTTGCAACGACAAATCTTCCTTCTTCAGTAGATTTATTTAAAATTTCCAATTCAGAAGAGATAGTTTTCATTGTTTTGAAATCTTTTGAAATATCCTTTAGTAGATGATTTATCTTGAATAGAAAGTGGAAAATTTTTTTTCAAGTCCAATTATACGTAAATAAGAAGTAAATTAAATAATCAGAATAACAAACAAAATATGAAAAATCAGCACTTTTTTCGAAATTGTGTTTTAATAAAAATAAATGTGTTAAAGTTTTGAAAAAAGTAATGAAAAAAAATACCTTTTGTTCTTGAATGAAGAAAAACAGTAAATGTACATAATATACGAAGCCCATAATAATTAATGGTATTCGTTTAACTGTTAATTCAAAATCATTTCGTCCTGTGTAAAGAGCGCAAATCTAAATTCATTGCAAAAAAAAAATTTTTCAAAGTTATAAAAAAATTTTTTTATTATACAATTTTTAAATAGAGAAATTAAAAAAAAATAAATTAATAAGAAATTAATAAATTAAATTAATAAGAAAATTAACAGATTAAAAAAAAATAAATTTGAAAACAAATACAAAAAATAATTAAATACTTGAGCAATATGCAAGAATACAAATGTGAAGACACTAAATGATTTCATAAAAATTTTTTGTGCGCGATTTTGAAAAGGCCAACAGCCCATTATTGTCATAACAATTTTTGTTGTTTTAAAATTAACTTCCATTGTTTTTTCTTTCTAGAAGAAAAAAATGATTATTTTTTCTTTAAACATAAAAAGGAAAAAAGAAAGAGAGTTGTTAACTGTTAAACTGCTGAAAATTTACTAGGTATTATAGAATTTATTTCATTTTTTTTCTTCTTTACACAATTGTCTGTGACTCAAAGAGGTTTTTCAATGTAAAATCTCATTTATAATTCATTTATGGATTCATGGTACTTTCTATGGTACTGATGTAAATTCACGCTCTCATTATTATTATGCAGGCAATATACCAAGAATTTTAAGAAATACACATATTGATTACATAATAGCGAAAGAAAATTGTAATGACTGATGTTCAATTATTTAAAAGTGTCTCTCGAGATTCAAGACATGCGCAGTGGTTTTATTTCTTGACGCCTTATGAGAAAAGAGAAATCAGTTACTTGCAAGAAACTCATCATAAAACAACTGAATTCGCAACAATATTTGATTTCATGAGAGGATAAATAATTTTATTATTTTTTTTTTTATTTTAATTTCATTTTCTTTTAATTTCAATACATTTTCTTTCTTTATTTATCTTATTTATTTGTTCTATTCAATTATTTTATTTAATTATTATTATTAATATTTTTATTAATCTTATTATTTTTACTATTATTTTTATTATCATTTTTACAATTACATAAAATTGTCTTATTAGTTACTGAAATTATTTAAACAATTTATTGTTCTTACTTTTTCAATGTTTAATGAATATCTAAACAAATTGTTGCAATTTGTTCTAATTTTTTAATTTTAAATAATAATAATAAATAACAATAAGCAAAAGTTAACATTAATTCCCTTTTTAGAAAGTTAACAATTTTTTAAACAATTAATTGTTGTTATTTATTTAATTCTTCAAAAATGTAGTTTAAAACAATTATAATTTTTTTCAATTTTGCAAAATTTTTTACCCTTAGAAAAATCATGTATATACTTAAAAATTATAAAACGACTTCTTTATAATAATTTTATAAACAAAATAGTAATTTTTTAAAAGAATGACTAATGCAAATTTTTTTACAATCTGAGTTTGGAAAATTTAATTACATCTGACAGTTTCAGGAACAATTTGTTTTATAATAAATAAAATATAATAATTTGTTTAAATATGTTTAATTATGTAAAATTTAAAAAATTCAAAATGTTGGATCCAATATGGCGGACAAAAATTTTAGACTTGACCGAATTTGCTTAAAAACTTGTCATCTAGGGGTTTTTAGAGTCGCTTAATCCGAATTTGATGTCAGATTTTGAAAATTCAAAATGGCGGATCCAATATGACGGACAAAAATTTTTAATTTGACCGGATTTGCTTAAAAACTTGTCATCTAGCCGTTTTTAGAGTCGCTAAATCCAAATTTGATGTCAGATTTTAAAAATTCAAAATGGCGGATCCAATATGTCGGCCAAAAAGTTTAAATTTTACAAAATTTGCTTGAAACTATTGAATTTGGGGTTTATGAGGTCACATATACTAAAAATATTATTAAATTAATTCCCAATCTTTCGAAACTATGCTTTCAAAACAAAAAATAAATATAAACAAAAATAAGGAAGTAAAAAAATTCATCTAAACAGAAATTTTACATTCATAAAAGCAATTTTTCGCTTCAACTATCAATTTCTTTATCGGGTGTAATTTTTTATTTTCAGATCTTGGCGTCAATGAACTTTTATACATATATATATATATATAAAACATCACATAGAATCGAGTTTCCTGAGATGTCAAAGTGTGAGTGTACAGAACCATGGAGAATATATTTTATATGTATATATATGACAGTGTCATGGATGATTAAGTCGTAACATGATGTTTGTGTATCGTGTGCACGTTGTCAGCAATGTCATTGGACTTTTTGATCCGGTATGAACTTTTATATATATATACAATATTTTATACAACTTATTCTTTGCGAATAACGATATGATGATGATTATGATGACGCCCTGGCGCCTCATGTGTGGCGATTTATTATTATCACAGTCAAAGAACGGATGCCGATGACTATAAAGAAATGAAAAAAGTTAAATAGAAAAAAATGTATAGTTATATATATTTCGAATCATCATCCGTATGCTGTTGATGACTTTCGATTAAAAAGTATATCCTTCCAATATATAAAACATGACGTGAATATTTTTTTTTCCTCGACAATATTACTTCCGAACTTGGTTGTAGAAAAAAAATTCTTTTACCTTTTCACCTTGAAGAATAGGTTTTTTTTTTTTTTTGTTAAGTCACGCTTATTTCTGTATAAAAAAAGGGAAGAAAAAACTTGCGAGCGCGGCTGATTCACAGCAACAAAAGTCAATTTTAAAAATTTGAAAATAATTTTAATGTTTTTTTTTTAATCAACTTTTTTTCAAGTTTCTTACAATTTAAAGAATTTTTTGTATAATATAAAATAAATAAAAAATAAAACAAAACAAAAACTAAAATTAATAAAATATTAAATAAATATAATATAAATTATATGAAATAGAAGGAAAAATAATAATAAAAAGTAGAATAGAACAAAAAGTAAATTAACAAATAGAATAAAGTAGAAATGAAAGAAATAAAAAATTAAATAAAGTATAAAATTAAATAAAATAAAAAATTAAGTAAATAAAAAAACAATTTAAATTACTAGATAACTAAAATCAAACATGTATAGAATTTCAATAAATGCAATTAAAGCGTTTATTGATAAAATAGTTCTTGTAATAAGTTAAATTCCATTTTTTTTTCTTTAATTCTTCTTAAACTAGTTGACCTAAAATGAATAGTGTCTTTCATAGAAAATTATGACACGCTCTTTTTGCCATCCTTTAAAAGATTATTATCGAATTTCTGTTCGAGCTTCTATAATAATAATTGACATAAAGATCACATAATTTGTCATTAATATAAAAAAAATTCCAAAGATATTACATACTTATAATATATAAGTTATGTATTTTAAGAAGAAAAAAAAAATAACGATTATTAGTTTTTATCAAGAATTTTATGACGACACTTCATCATATTTCTTAAAAACTATTTCGATTCAAGAATTTCTTTTTGCTT